AAGAAAAATGAAATTATTTGAATTAAATTACTTTTTTTAACATTTCTAAGTTTTTAATGACGTAATAACTACGTTAGTGTATTTCTTGAATTGAAACGAAAATGGCTTGTGGTATTTTAACAACAGTTTTCTTATGAATTAATTCAACATCAACCCATCCATAAACCTTTGGTACAGTAAATGTGAGTTGACCCCTTTTTTTATTTCCTTCTATTTGACAGATAATAGAAGAAATTTTTATTTGTGTTGTTGCCCCAAGGTTTTCTCCTTGAACTATGACTTGGTTATTAACACAACAAAATTGTGGATAAAAATTATATTCATTTCTATTTTTTTCTCTTTCATCATCTTCCTCCTCTTCTTCTGAAATTATACTATCTGAAGAACTACTACCTTCTACTGTAAAATCAATTAATCCATCACAATTAAATTTATATCCACTATCAGTTATTATTGGAATTTGTTTAATTCTTTTATTCACTAGTTCGACTTCTTTAACTTCATTAAATTTATATTCTTCACAGACTTCATCTTCATAAGGATGAATACGATCCATCAATGTATTAATTTGTACTGAGAAAGAACGAATTTCTTCAAGAAATAACATTTTCATTCTTTGAAGAAAGAATTGAGTTTTATTATCTCCATTACTTAATGAAATATGTAAAGCTTCAAACTGTTTTGAATATCCATCAAATTTAGTTTTACACTCTTTGATGTTGATAACAAACTCAGGACATATTTTAAGATTTAAACATGAATAATTAGTAAATTCATCAAATAAATCTGCACATATGTTCATGATTTCTATTATTTTTTCTTTTTTATAGAATATATTTTGGTAAAATGAAAAAATTTCAGAGACTTCTTGTTTGGTTGTTGTTTGATTAACTTTCATTTTGAACAAACTTGAAGTCCAATTTTCTCTTCTCTTAAACATCATTTGAATTTATTAGTTCACACTGCATAATAATATAAAAACAAAAAAAGAAAGGGCTCAATCCATGCATATAGTCAACATTATTTTCAATAATGATTAGTTATCCCTCTGACATACCTAATTCGTTTCATTGCCCAATTAATTATTTTATAAATAAAAAAGTATCCTAGTATTCTACTCTATAAAAAATTAAGGTTTTTTATTTTATTAATTAAACTTAATTAAAATAATTATTAAATTTAATTTTTTCACTTTGAATTAAATTCTAATTATTTATTCTTTTAAACAAATACTTGTTTTTGAATATACTTCATTTTAATTAACATTAAAATATAGCTATTCTTTCATTAATACTCTTTTTATGTACTCAACTAAATTTTCCTTTTTCTATTTGTTATACCAATTCATGTCATTCTCATTTATCAAATATTTTGATGTATCATATTTCTCAATGAAGTATATTATTAAGTTATTGAAAGTAGTTATTACAATCTTACAATTTATATTTTGAATTCATTAACATTAACTTTTTATAATAGAAGTCATTTCAATAAAAGATATAAAATAATTACAAGAGCTAATTATTATTTAATCAATTATTTAATTATCTTTCATAATAAATGACTAATAAAATTCTGTAAAATGTTACAGACAAAAGAAAAAAAAATATACACTTAAAATATTAATTAAAACTTATTTTTTTTCTTGAGTCTTAAATATTTTAAAATATTCATCAACAAGGTTATCAATACGAGAATTTAAAAATTTAATTTTCTCTTCTGTTGTGCTATAATGACCTAAAGATAATACTCCTCCTATGACAAAATCATTAAGATATAATTCAGTTACACCAAGTCCATAATTTGAAATGCACATTAATAAAGCTATGTCACAAGAAATATCCCATGACAAACAAGTAGATGGAATAACTGGAAGTAATGTTTTACACTCATAAACTAATTTCATTGCATAACTTAAAATGGAATACATTTGAGAATGTGTGATAACTTCTTTTGGACAATTTGGATTAGAAAGTATTTCATTAACAATTATCTGTAATTGAAATGAAGTAATTGGAACAAATTGTGTTTTATCAATTTTCCAATTAGAAACATTACTGCCAAATCTTTGAATACAACTTTCAATACAATTTAACCATTCATTAATCTTTTCAATTCTCATTGTTGGAATATATTTTTTAAAAATTTTATGTAATTCATTTTCAATAATTATTTCTTCTGAAGTATCAGAATCATCCATTGGAACAACTTTTAGTTCTTCTAATGGAACAATAGGAATAATAACTGATGTATTATTTTGATTTTTATCATGTTGTTCTAATAAATTATTTTGTTCTATTTCTTCATCTTGTTTAATAGCATTTCCTTCATGATCAAGTCGACCATATTTTTCAAGAATTCTTTCTTTATTAAATTTTTTTGGACCAATTATTAAGTCTTTTAATTTCATTTCATTTTTATTTTCTAACGTTGGAACTTTTATAGTCTTTATTTGTTCTAAAGAAGATTTATTAATTTCATTATTCTCTTTATTTTGTTCTTCAATTTGAATTTCATCTGAAGAAGACTTATTTAAAGTATTTGTATCTATTTGTTCATTCAATTCTTCAATTGGATAAATTTTTCCTTTCTTTGCAAATCCATTAATTAACCTAATTTGATTATTATCTACATCTAAAACAATTTGATGAATTTCTTCATGAGACTTAAATGTTAATAAATCATTAATTAAATATGTTTCATCTATTGGTTTTAATTTACCAGTGTATCCATATTTAAAATTATGTTTTGTTAATAATTGATAATATATTTGTGTTTTTTCTGAAGTACTTAATTCTTGATCAAGTTCATTCATCATTGTTGTTATTTCATCTAACGATTCACTAATAGTTAATTCAAATACAAATAAATTCTTTTTAGATAACATTAAATATTTGGTTCTAATAATTGATTCAAAAAGTGGAGAATATTCATTACTAAGATCAATTACAATATCAATCATACTTAAATCTAAAAACATTCTACTACATGAATTATCAACACATACAACACGATTGTTTATTTTTAATTTATCTTGTCTATTTCCATTTTTCTTTTTATACTCTTGAATAATATTTTCTTTTTCATTACTTTCAATATCATTTAAAAACATTAATGAACAAATACATTCAACAAGTGGAAAATTAAGTTCCCATTCTATCATATTACAATTTAATTTTTCTGAAATAGTTTTAAGTGTTTTATCATAATCTCCTAATACAGCAATTTTAAATTGAGTATTATTTAAAATTAATTTAATTAAATAAATTATAAATTCAACTTTACATCCTAAATTATTTCCTTTATAAAGTGATGAGTCTGTTAAAATTCGTTTCATCATTTCAAGACATAAATCTTTATTAGTTGTTGATTTACTCATTAAACTTTTCATAGTATTATACATATTCATTTGTTCTTCTTTCATATGAAGAAAAACATCAATATATTTAATATAATAATTAATTGGTGTATATTCAAGAAAAGAAACTTCACCTAATTTTCTTTTTTCAATTCTTGATCTTAATGCTTCAGACTCTGTAAATTTATCATAAAGAATACAAATTGATTTTTCTTCACAAAAGAAATTAAATTGAAATGCAGCTTGTGGATCCATATCACAAAAAAGAATATCAACAAAAGCTTTTCTTTTAATTCTTAACATATTAGGTGTTGAAATAATAATACCATTATAAAATCCTCTTTTATCATTTCTATATAATTCATCTTTTCTAATTTTTTGAAAAGGAACAGTTGTAGGTCTATCAAGTAAAAATGTAATATTTATGTCTGGAAAGAATCTGTTTATATTTTCTTTATAAAATGGAATATTACTTTCTTCAGTAACAAAAATAAAAGGACCAGTTACTCCCATTGTCATTTCTCTATATAACATTTTAAATAATTCAAATTTAAATTGTAATGAATTGTAACACCATGTAACATTTCCTTTTTTTAAACTTCTAATAACTTCTTTGACATATTTTATAGTTGGATCATTTTTTGGAAATTCTTTTGGATTTGTTTTAGAATCTCTTATTGAAACAATAGGTTTTGTTCGATCTTCATATCGTTTAATAAGTAAAGAATATTCAGGACTTGTAAAAAATTCACTACTTTCAGAAGATATAAAGATTTCATCATTATAATTCCATTTAACAAAATAACCCATTGATGAATCATCTCTAAGTTGTTTATTGAGAATTTTTTCTGGCATTAAAATATCAGCACTATACTCTTTATTTAGTGCTGGTTGTACAATAATTGAACCAAGTTGATTGTTTTTTATAAATTCTTTAAATATATTATTAGGATCAATTTTAATATTTCCTTCTAATTTACTACGTTCAACCCATGAACATTCAAGTACAGAATAATCTTTCCATTTAACTAAATAATATTCTCCATTTTCAGGAAGTTCTATATCTTTATTAATATCAGGGTCATAACATTTAAAAGTTCTAAGTTTTGAAAATATTGAACCAGATATGTATTGAGTCAGAATGTCTTCAACTATCATTCTATCCTCATTAGAGTCTCCCATCCTAAAATGTTTTCTATCTCTTTTATTTTTTAGTTTATTTCAAGTAAATATTTTAATATTTATCAAAAATTAAACCATTTAAATGAAATAATCAAAATTCTAAACTCTTTTAAATAAAACTAAGAATAAATAAACTTATCTTTTCAATGAATAAAACAGCTGGATTGTTACAATGGTGTCAAAGATCTACTAGTGGTTATGAAGGTGTTGATGTAAAAAATTTTACAACATCATGGAAAGATGGAAAAGCATTTTGTGCTCTTGTTCATCACTTTAAACCAGAACTTATTAATTTTGAAAAGTGTAAAACACAAACCCAACAAGAAAATTTAGAAATGGCTTTTGCTGCAGCTGAAAAAGCTGGTGCTCCAAGGATGATGGATGTTGAAGATTTTGATATGGATGTCCCAGATAAGTTAAGTGTTATTACATGTATTGGTGTATTACAACAATACTTAGATACTACTCCATCTACAGAACAACCACATCCTGCTAAAGAACAAAAAGAAAAAGTACAATATACTCTCTACTCATCTGCAACTCATTCTCCTCCTGTTAAATCAAAATCACCATCTATTTCAAATGATATTCAAAACCATTCTGTACCTCAAAGAAGATCAACAGTTGCATCTACTTCTGATGCTGCAAAAAAAGCACAACTTAGTCTTTGTTCTTCTTGTGGAAAACCTATCATTGGTAGTGTTGCATTAGAAGTTAAAGGGAAAAAATATCATAAACAATGTTTCTTCTGTTCTAGATGCAAAAATGTATTAGATGAAAAGTCTTTTGTATCTATTGATGATGCAAATTATTGTCTTGTATGTGGTAAACAAGTCTTTTTTGAAAACAAAAAGAAAAAAGAAGAAGAAAAAATGAGTAGTAGTGAACATCCTTTGAATTCAACTCATGACCAAATACAGTCAACTCCAAGTGCCAATAATCCAATTTCATCTCCAACTAATGATTTAGAAATTAAAAAAGAAAAGAAACCTGTTCAATCTTCTGGTAATTGGAGACAGAAGAGTGAAGAAGCAAAGAAATTACAACAAGAGAAGGAAGAAAAAGAAAGAAAATTAAAAGAAGAAAAAATTAAAAAAATGATGGCATTAAGAAAATCAGCTCAGTCTCAAAGTCCTGATATTTCTGTTCTCAACCAAACATCTTCTAACAATAGTACTTCACCTGTTCCTGAACGTCAAACAACAACTAATAATCTTACTACTTCATCGATAAAAATTAGAAATGGAGGTAATGAGGAAGATGTAGTAAAAAGTAATGACAATGTACCAAAAATTGGATTAAGAACAAGTATTGGAAAAACAACAATTCTTGAACGTAAATCTTTTGAAAATCAAAATTCATACAGAAATTCTCTTACTAAACCATCAAATGATAATTCACCTTCACCATCATCATCTCCTAATTTCATTGATCCAAATGATGATGAGTGGGTTTCTGGAAATACAATTAAAAGAAGATCAGAATCACCACGTCCTATTCTTTCAGATGCTGAAGATGAAGATATAGCACCTCGTTCACATACTGTTAAAATTGATTTACCAAAACCAATATTAGCAACATGGCAATTTTATGTTGTTTTATTTACAATTATTGGAGTAATGACAATTGCATTTTATGCTTTTTTTAAGTAAATGATGCGTTATTTAAATTTTCTATTTTTTCCTTCTTTACAGAAAAAGAAAATACAAAAATTCTTTTACAAAAAAAACAAATAAGAATAAATATGAAATGATTAAAATAAACTAATAAGAACTTATTATTTGAAGAACTTTAAAAAAAATAGTAAACATATAATAAAAATATAGTAACAACAGAGGAATCTCACAACATTTATTTCCACCCTTCAATGGAGGAAAAAGCCAATGAATTAGATAATCAGAAAATGATTTCAATTTGTCTTATTGGATCAGAAAGAGTTGGAAAAACAACGTTACTTAAAATATGGAGTGTTAGTTTTTTTTTAATTTTTAATTTAAATATAAAAAATTAAGATTTTAGAATGAAGAATTTGAGTCTGTTTATTTAAAAACAGATGAAATAACCTCTAAAACTTTAAAAGTAAATCATAATAATACTACTCTTGAAGTTACTATTGTTTGTTATATTGTTTTATTAAAGTATTTTAATGAATTTTAAAGAATAATATAATAGTGGGATTGTTCTGGAGATGAATTCAAAAATACAAGAGGAACTGTTGATTCTTATGTCAGTAATGGTCCAATCCATGTATTTGTTATATCACAATCTGATAAAGGAAGTGTTGTTTTTTTAAAAGGATTTATTAACAGTATATTTTATAGAAAATCAAACCCTAAACGAAAATATATAATTGTTACTCATTGTGATGAAGAAGATTGTACAGAAGGACTTATTGATGAAATTACACAAACATTACATTCTAAAAGATATAATGTATGTTATGAAGAAATAGAAAAAATAAAAAGTATTCTCAATGAAATTGTTATTGAATATGCAAATGAATTCTTACCTAAACCAGAATTAGATTCTGTCCAACCTCCATCAAAAAAATCATGTTGTTTTTTGTTTTAGTTTAATGACAACATGGTCATTAGTTTGATTAATTTGTTGTTATGTTTACTTTTTTATTCTCTTGGTTTTTATTTGTTTTAGTTATTCTTTTTTATTTTTTTTATTAAACTGAATCATAAGAAATTTAACAATTATTTTTTGTTAAAATAAAGATATTTTTTTTCATTTGAATATTCTCATTGAATTGTTTAGGTAAAAAAGATGCATTACAGGAGACACAACAA